TAGTGAGGCCAAGGCTAACATGAAATACATAGTGAAACCTTGTCTCAAAAAACAAAAAATAACCCCCAAATCATGGGAGGTTGTGTTCAGGGCCTGGGGTGGCAGAAAAGCACTGCATGCCAGTCAACGGTAGCAGCAGCAGCAATAGGAAAAAGGGGAAAAAAGGCCTATAATTCGGCCAGACACCTCTGCTTTTGGTGCCTCCCACTGAATCTCCCTTGGCACCAGTGTTAGGGCAGTGATGGACCTGTGGCACATGTGCTGCCCTGGGCTGTTTGTATCATTGAAAGCTCTGTTATTGTGGTTTTTTCTTTTAAATTTTTTTTTTTTTTTTAAAAAAAAACTAAAATCTTAGTATTCAGTCTTAACTGCAGTGTTGGTACTTTGTAGTAAATAAGTGCAGTTTGGTTGTGGTTTGGGCATTCGGTCTCTAAAATGTTCTCCATCACTGTCCTAGGCTTTTGTTACTTTATTTCCTGCCTCTCTTGAAAATAGAAGCAGGAATAAGGGTTGGGAACTGTCAAGAGTTGAATGGAGGGAAGGGTGTGAGTCACTCAGCTTCTTTGTTTCTAACTGTATTACTACCATGTTTTTTTCCCTACAGCTAGGCCAGGTTTGGTTATGGAGTGGGCAGACCCAGATGTTCAGTTTGAGGGCATGATGAACTTGAGGTGCATGTGAGAAACGTAATTAGAGTTGTCCATCTTCGTTGTACAGATGATTTTAAGCTGGTCAGGGTAGGGAGAATTGGGATAGAAGAATTCCCCAAGGATGATACTGTCATTTTGCTGGGTTGGAGGGTTCTTGAGGTGATATAAGGAACCTATCCCACCCTTGTAGAATAAGCTTGCAGGTTCACTGACTCTTGTTCAGAAAAAAAATTTAGGATATGTCAGTAAGAGACACGAGAAGGGTTTATTAGAGATCTTGGGACATACTGTACTCACGAATAGACTGGGCTCTCAGAGAAATGAGATACATCATAACTCTGAGTTAGGTATAGTTCAGAGGGTGTCTTCAAGATGGTTGATTTAGGATGTGTATTTTTAGTGTCTGTAAGGTTATAATGCAAGCCATTTAATTGTGTTTGAAGTTGAGATATGCTGTTCACCAATACTGCTGCCTCCTTGGGGGCGCAATTTACAGAAAGTGAAGTTTACAGGTGAAAAGGATAGGTCCAGAGCCTGGATTTACAGCTTTATTGTCTTCTAAGACCTTTAGGATTTTTTTTTTTTTGAGTGAGTTTCCTGGGAGGGAAAAAGACTTTAGTAACTTCTGCATCTTAAAGCTGTATTTAAGTACATTTTTAAAAATACCAATTTCCTTGTCTTTTTTGTACTTAGTTTTTATTTCTTTGATCCTATGTCAGTACTATGTAAAAGTAATACAGGGATGAGGAGATAACTCTGAAGATGAGAAACATTTAAGGGAGGAATGAACAAAGAAGGAAGGGGACAGAAAGAGTGAAATGAAGAAAACCAAGAGAGGATAAAAAAAGTTGAGAGTGCTTAAGATAGTACATTATATATGGAAGTTACAGAGACACTCAAGAGGAAAAACAGTCATTATATAAAGTTCTTCTGAGGAAGTGCATTGGTACTGAAGTGCCTGTGGAAGGGCCAATTTTAGTTTAGTGGAGAAAAAGCTTTTATGGATGGATGTTGATGTAAATGAATCAGGTGAGAGTATTACCTGCTGCTCAGGTGCATATCCTCACCACCCTACAAAAACATCGGAGGTCATATTTTGGTGAAAAGAAGAAAGGCTTTGTTCAAAACTAGCTCTGAGGTGATGAAAGGACCTCATATTGCCTCAGATTACCACCGGACTGTGTGTCCAGATGTGCAAGGATCTTTCACAGTGTAAGGAAGAAAGGGGAGAGGAAAGACAGTGAGACAGTAGAAAACACCATACTTATTTCATTCCTTCCTGTTCTTTTTCCTCTCCTTCCCTGTAGTGTGGGACCAGGTCTTTGCCCTCTTGGGGCCAGCATCTTCATAGCCTCTTACTGAGGAAATCTGGAGAAGTTGATTGTGGCATTTAAAAGTTCTGATGGCATGGGACTGCAGATACAGTTCAGTGGTGGAGTGCTTGCCTGGCATGCGTGAAGTCATGTGTTTGGTCCCCAACACTGGGAGAAAAATATTCTTATGGCATGATTACCCCTGAGACTCTGCATTTCTGAATTAGAGCCATTAATAGTCATGATATTTGGAAAAACGCAGTTAGATGATTTTGTTGTGAGGAAACCAGAATGTGGTTATGTAAGGTAAGATATCCCCAGATACCACCAGCCAATATAATCTTATGATAACAGCCTTATATGTTGACAGAAATGCCGTTATGTGGCCCATGACTGTGTTACTTTGTATTTTGTTGCTTTTATTTATCCATTTATTTATTTTTGCCTCCTGTTTTTTAAAGACCTTCTTTTAATAGATAAATAAATGTGATTAAATTTTACACTTCGGAAAACCAAAGATGTGTCCTGAAATGGTGAACATTTACTATATATTAGCTTTTGTTATCATTCAAAGGATTTCAAGTAACAATAGCTCATTATTTTAAGTAAAATTCAGATTACTGAAAAGGTTTTCTATGCTTCTTTGACCTTAAAATACAGTTAATCTCCAACAGTAGTATATAATATATTGCCAGATAGTCCAGATTAACTAGGAAAAGGAATTTTTACTTCATGAACTACATTAGTTCTGGAAATAAATTTTTTTTTTTTGAGACAGGGTCTCGCTCTGTAGTTCAGGCTGGCCTTGAAATCACTTTGAGTCCCAGGCTGGCCTCAAATACACAGCATTCCTCTTGCCTCAGCCTTCCGGGTGCTGGGATTATAGGTGTGCCCCACTATGCTCAGCAGTCCTGGAAAGAAATTTCTTAATATTGCTAGGAAAACATTGCAGTTTCTGAGCTTAGTGAACCACTGCTATTTCTAATTTGGAGGAAAGGTTGGGATTTTTTTTTAAAGGTGCAGGATCTATTTTCTGTCCTGTTCCTTGTGTACCTTAGGGCTTTCTTTACTGGTTTACTAATGCAGAGATGAGATTGCCAGTGTGTTCATGCTTTTAAAGATTTTTAATCTGAGTTTGACCAAAGTATACAGTCACTTTGAAATTCTGTTTTTGACCTTATGGTTTACTTGGGTGCCATTTGTGTGAAGTAACATTTATAAGATAAATTCTATATAGTAATACATTTGGGGAAAAGAGTATTTAATAGGTTGAAGCCTATTGTTACTTAAGGCAATTCTTTGGAAGAATCATGTCAGGAAATCAGAGACCTAGTTTAGATACATAGATGGTACTTGAGTTTTCATGGGAATATGTCCTGATAAACCTGTTGTAAGTTGAAAATATTGTAAGTTAAAAGTGTATTGAATACACCTAGCCTACTAAGCATCATAGCTTAGTAACACAATGTGCTTGAGAGTTTTGATTGTTTACTTTTACAGTTAGGTGGCTGACTAGGAGCTGTGCCTCATTGCTGCTGCTCAGCATCTCCTAGTACCTAGGAAAAGATCAAAATTCAAAATTGGAAATATGGTTTCTACTGAATGTATATAGCACTTTCACTGTTGTAATGTTGATAGTTAGCTGGGCATAGTGGTGCATGCCTCAGATCCCCCCGTTCAGGAGGCTAGGGTAGCAGGAATGTTTGAGTCCAGGAGTTCCAGGCCAGCCTGGGCAACATGGTAAAGACCCTTGTCTCTAAAAAACAAGAAAAGGAGTCAGGCCCGGTGGCTCATGATAATCCCAGGACTCAGGAAGCTGAGACAAGAAGATCACAAAATTCAGGGCCAGCCTGGACTACAGTGAGATGTTATCTCAAAAAGTAAACAAGCAAGCAAACAAAAAGCGTAAAACAAAAATTCTAACCCAAACAAACAAAAACCCAAGAAGAAGAAAGAAAGAAAAGTAAAAACTGGAAATCAAACCATTTTTTTGTTTTTTCGGTTTTTTTCCGGTACCAGGAATCAAACTCAAGACCTTGTGCTTGCCAGGCAGGCGCTGTGCTGCTGAGCTAAATCCCCAGCCCCTTGGAAATCAAACCATTGAAAGTTGATTTTGTGAATTGAACCATTGGTGTACTGACTTATCTTTGAGAGAAGTGTGAAAAGTAGATAGCTATAGTATGTATTTTTAAAATTCATTTTAATTATTCTTACAGAGTAAGAACATATTTTCTTGTGTAAAAATTTTTAACTTTTATAGTAGTTTTAAGAAAAAGCTTTGTAAGTGGAGTTGCCTTCTGGCATTTGCTTTTTCAAATTTAGTGTGTCCCATGCTGGATTTCTATATGTATTAACAGATCTTTATATATATGTTGAACATATTTTTCACTTAGTTTGATTTATGTGGAAATTTTATGTAGGGTAGTTTTTTGGTATACTATTTTGTCATGATTAAGTGTATTAGTTTTTTGCTTTCTGGTTAAGAAGCCTTATTCTAACTCAAGTTTACAAGAACATTCTCTTAAATTTTTCATAGTACTTTTAATATTTAAAATAATTGTATATTTTTATTAAGTTGGTACAATTTAGATATACATAATGATCACATTCCTCATAGGGAAATTGCACCTATACATGATATATCTTGATTCCTCTTTTAAAAAGTATATCTTTAATGTACGTGGAAATTACTTTAGTGTGTCATCTGAAGTATTTTTGCCAAAAATACAAATTGTTCAGATCCCATTTATTGAATGATTTTTCTGTTTTGAAATGTTACGTGTAGCTTTTCTTTTCCAGTTGCATTCTATATTTTTAGTATCCAGCTTTACGACATATAAAATTTTTATGTGGTGTTTTGTATTAAATTTTTATAATGGTATTTACTATGAAATACATTGTACTATAATTCCTTCTTGAATCTATGAGTAAATGGATGACAGAAGGGAGATCTTTCACAAATTAGGGGTAATGGAATGTTTCTGAGAAGGGAAATATTTATGATTGGAGGATTTAATGTATGATCTTTTCATTACAGATATGGCGTAAGATATTTCTTCAAGACTGGACCTGGTGACCTGTTATTTCTGATATCTTTAAGCTGACTTACAGACAAAGAGAAACCTCACAGAGTTCCATTTTTTTTTTTTTGCTATACACCTTTCTTGGCACCTAAGTTCACCTTGCAACCATGTATGGGAGTGCTCGCTCAGTTGGGAAGGTGGAACCAAGCAACCAGAGCCCTGGGCGTTCACCCAGGCTTCCACGCTCTCCTCGCTTAGGTCATCGTCGGACCAATAGTACAGGAGGGAGTTCTGGAAGCAGTGTTGGAGGTGCCAGTGGCAAAACCCTTTCAATGGAGAATATACAATCCTTAAATGCTGCCTATGCTACATCTGGCCCTATGTACCTAAGTGACCATGAAAACGTAGGTTCAGAAACACCTAAAAGCACCATGACACTTGGCCGTTCTGGGGGACATCTGCCTTATGGTGTTAGGATGACTGCTATGGGCAGTAGCCCCAATATAGCCAGTAGTGGAGTTGCTAGTGACACCATAGCATTTGGAGAGCATCACCTCCCTCCTGTGAGTTTGGCATCCACCGTACCTCACTCTCTTCGTCAGGCAAGAGATAACACCATCATGGATTTGCAGACACAGCTGAAGGAGGTATTAAGGGAAAATGATCTCTTGCGGAAGGATGTAGAAGTAAAGGAGAGCAAATTGAGTTCTTCAATGAATAGCATCAAGACCTTTTGGAGCCCAGAGCTGAAGAAAGAGCGAGCCTTGAGAAAAGATGAAGCTTCCAAAATCACCATTTGGAAAGAACAGTATAGAGTTGTGCAGGAAGAAAACCAGGTTAGTTTTATATGTCATCTATGTTATTGGCTGAATTTATGTTTATACAAAAATGAATTATTCTTTTTCTTTTTATACTTAGTTCACTTACTTTTCCTTACCTTATTTATTTTAGTGTTTTTTCTCCACAGTATCTCATCCTTTTTCAGATTTGCTGAGGCTCTGATTTTTTTAAATTGGGTGCCATATCTGCTTGCTCCCTGTTATTCTTGTTTTTTTTTTTTTTTCCTGGCTTCTCTTTTCTATTCGTGAATTATCTTTCAATATATACTTTCTTTTCTTTTTCATTTCTTTTTCAGTTCTTATATGACTATAATTTTGCCATATAATTTTAACATTCATCTCCAAAATTAGATTGTGTACCTTAATAAGTATAAGGTATACCATCAATATTTGTTACAGTAAATGTCAAAAAACTCAATCTTACCAAAGAAACTTCAACTATAACAAATTAAATCACTGTGCTGTCAAACCAGAACAGTTACTACTTTATGAAAACTAATATTATTGGTGTAAGTTTTAATTAGGTGCTAATACTGAGTCACTTTTTTTGTTGACATTCATCAAAGGTTTACTTCTGGATGCTTATGTACTTTTTGATGTTCTTCAGTTCTTTCAGAGGGAGGAATGGCAAGTAGGTGTGATGGTTGCTTTGAGAAAGTAAAATTTGTAGGCGTTATAATTACAGAGTATTGTGGTTTAAGCTAAGTAGTATCTTAGTGGTTATACAAAGCATTCATTACTTTTCTTTACTCTTCCAGGTGATGGTTGATGCTTGGTGACAGCTATGTCACAATCACTGATATATAACTACAAAGATGTGAGCAAAACATATTTAGCCTATAGCAATTAAACTCTTAGACATCGTTTTTGTTTAAAAGATTTTTAGAACATGTCTTAAACTTGGAAGCTTGAATTACCTGCCTTTTTTGCTTTGTTAAAAAAATTATCTTGTACCCAGCCAGAAGTATTACCGAATTACATACTCCCGTAATCCTAGCCCTTTGTGAGGCTGAGAAAGGAAGACCACAAATTAAAGCTCAGCCTGAGCAACTTATTGATTTAGCAAGACCCTATCTTAAAATAAACATAATTTAAAAAGAACCAGGAATGTGGCTCAGTGAGAAGGCCCTAGGTTCAATCCCTAGTAGTACTTTAAAGAGAAAGGAAAAAAAAAAAAGAAAAAAGGAAACTATTTTATATCCTTAAAGGATAATTTTAAAGTAGCTACCATATTGTTGGTATTATACTTTATTTTTAGGTTAGGTTATTAAGAATTACATAGAAAGTAATAAAGTTATCTAAATTTCTGCAGTGTTATTGAATGATGCTAAGAAGTAAAGGAGTTAGAAGTGATTTGTGTCAAAAAAAAGGGAAATGATCTGTGTCTCTGAAGGAGATCTAATTTATGATATCTGTTGATTGTCTTGAGTGTATTGTTAAACTGAGTTCAAGTATTCAGGTCTGCTGTTTTGGCTACTGAAAATCTCTAGTAATACTGTGTTTTGCATTTTAAAGCTACTCTTACAGAGATAAAAATTTCTCTTTTGGTGGGGGGGTCATAAATGGAATAAAGATATAAATAAGATAGCAACATTTACCTTACATCCTACAATCATACTATTGTATTGTTAACATTTTGATGTATCTCCTTCATGAATATCAATGTGTTCATACATAACAAATTTTATACAAGGGGAATATTGTAGGTGTTATGCTGTGGCCGTTTCTTAAGTCGACATTTCTCCTGTATGTTAAAGTCGTTCAATGTATATCTAAATCATTTTTAATGCTTTTGTACTGTTTCATTCACTTTATATTAGTTAATTTAATTTTTCAGTTAAAAATCTACAAATTTTACTTGAAATAACTTATGTAAATTGAAAATTAAGCCTTGAGTTCTTTTAAGTCAGTGATTTCAAAGTAATTAGAAATTGTAGTTTAATTCTTTCTCAGAGAACATAACCTCAAACTACTTGACTTTTACTTTTTAACTAGTAATTAAATTTATCCCTTTTGGAAATTTGAATACTTTAATACACTTACATCTCTATTAGAGATCCAGCCTTAAAAAGTTAGAGAAAATGTCCTTTAAAAAATATTCCTGCCAGGCATGGTGGCACATGTCTGTAATCCCAGTTCTTGGGAGACTGACATAGAGAATTTTTGATAGTTTTGTAGTATCATTTTTGAACTTACTTGCTTGTTTGTTTGTTATTTATACAAGTTTTGGGATTGAACCTTGTGCCTTATACATGCTAGGCAAGAGCTGTACCACTAAATTATCTCTCCAACCACCTCTAGATGGTTTGCAAATCACTGATGTACAAGATAAATGTTTAAATAATAATGTGAGTAGAATGAAGAAATACATATTTTTTTGTTTAGTTTACAGTTAGTTGTCAGAAAATAAAGTACAATACCAAAAATACTATTATTCCTAAATGTAAAGATAGCAGATTAGACCTAGCAGCACTCAGGAGATGCTTAAAGACCACTTGCCAGGTTTTGCAGGGCAGCAACTGGAACTGACTCTTATACTGAGTAGTTGAAGAGGGATATAAATAAATGCAAGGACCCATCACAGGCATACAGGAGCTAACTAAAGAGATCTATAAAGTAGTGACAGAGTGTTTTTCTACCCTAAGTGATTTTCAGCCTGCAGGACAAAACAATAGAAACATGAGGAAGCAGGGCAACAGGTACTTCTAAAAAACCCTTAACTCTCAAAACAGCTGATTTCATCGATACTGACGTAGATGAAGTTTATAGGAAAATAACTCAAAAACATAATGGGCACAATGTGTTTATTGAGCTTAAAGAAGATTTCAATGAACAGATAAAAGTTTTAATTAATAAAACGTTCAGTTACTGGGTGTAGTGATGCATGCCTATAATCTTATCACTCAGGAGGCTGAGCCAGGAGGATCACCACAAGTTTAAGGCCAGTCTGGACTATATAGTGAGTTCAGTCCTAATTGAGATTTGGTAAACAGACTGCAATAAATCATTATGACAAAGTTGGCCTCATATAGGGATGTAAGAATGGTTTAACATTTAAATCAATAACTGCAATATTATACCTGATAAACTGAAGCAAGAACAAAAATCACTTGATCATCTCAATAGATAGAGGAAAAGCCTTTGACAAAATCTAACATCATTCATGATAAAAATCATGACAAACAAGGGTCTTGCCTCAAACTGATAAAGAGGTTTGACAAACCCATTAACCCACATATGGAATGGAAAACTGAAAGCATTACCTGTAAAATCAGGAACAAGACAAGGATATGCACTGTCACCACTTCTGTTCAATATAATGGTCAAAACATTAGTCAAAACAGGCAGGAGAAAGAAAGAGGATACTACCTGAAAAAATAGAAAAAGTCCAGCTAACCTTATTTGCAGGTAATACGATGCTTTACATAGAAGACTCAAAAACTCCACCAGAAGACTCCTAAAACTAGTAAACAAATTCAACAAAGTAGTAGGATACAAAATTAGTACACAAAATACAACAAATAGCATACTTGTACACCAACAATAAATCAGCTAAGAAAGAAATTGGAAAAAATAATCCCATTCACAGTAGCTGAAAGAAAAAATGAAATACATAGGAATTCATTGAACCAAGGAAGTGGAAGACCTCTACAACGAAAACTATAATCCTCTGAGAAAAAGCAATGGAAGAGAATATTAGAAAATGCAAAGACATTCCCTGCTTATATAAAATTGAAAGGCTTCTGCCCAGCAAGTGAAACAACCAACAGAGTGAAGAGACAACATGCAAAGGGTAAAAATTTTTGCTGGGTACTCCTCAGACAGAGAACAAGTATCTAGAACGGTGTTGTCAAACCTTTTAGAGCTTTCAGTGATACAAGCAACCTGCTACAGTGCTTGAGCCTTTGGCTTGCCACCACTGATTTAGATTATGTAATGAATTAAAAAAAGTTAGACCCTCCAAAATAAAAGGCCCAATCCAAAAAAGAAAGTGTGTGAGGGGTGATAAAATGAGTAGATCCTTATCAGAAGAAACAGCACAAATAGCTAGTGGGTACATGAAAAAGTGCTTGGCATCTTAGTCCATTAGAAAAATGCAAATGACATTTCACCCTACTTCAGAAAGAATGGCTATTGCCAAAAATTAAAAAAATAACAGATGCTGGCAAGGTTGTTGATGAGAAGGAATCCTTATACATTGTTGGTGGGAATGTAAGCTACCACAATCTTGTGAAAATAACTGGGGATTCCTCAGACTAAAAATAGACATTCCATTAGACTTGGCTATACCTCTTGTAGTTATCTTCCTGAAGGAATTGAGACATAATGTTATAATGATACATGCATACCTCTGGTTCTAACAGCACAGCTCATAATCGCTAAATCTTAGAATTGTCCTGTATTCCCCATCAGCAGATCAGTGGGTAAAGGAAGGGTATTATTTAGCTAGAGTGGAATACTATTCAGCCATAAAGAATTACATATTTCAGTCATTTGTCAGAAAATAGATGCACTTGAAATCATAATGCTAAGTGAAATAAATGACACATGTTAAGTATTAGTTTTTCTCCTATATAAGAAACCCAAAGTATAAATAATTTAAAAAGCAAAAAAATTTTAAAAAGATGAATAATAGTAAATAGGAAGGTAGAGTTCGGTGAGATGTCAACTCATTCCCATCTAGGGATCAGTGGATGTGGATGGGAAGGAGAGAAAAGAGGAAGAAAAAGGATTAGGATGGTGTATGTGTATGTTCCACTTCCCATGATGAATGTATTTATTAGGTATTGTACATATATACTAATAAAAACAATGTAAAGTACTAGTACAGTTTGAGTTTTAATGATTTGGTATTGAATTATAAATATCAAGAGAAGAAAAAGTTTGTATTCTTTTGTCTTATGATGAGATATCAATATAGCATGGGGCTTTGAAACTGTATTTGTATTCCTTGGGTATTGGCTTTTAAAATTATTTTAGTAAATATAAGATTTGTT